TATTAATTCTTTCACTGGGACTGAAAACATCTTCAGATTAAGTCGAGGATGTTTCCAGGCTTGGGAAGGCCATATAAAACTGGAGACCACATGACTACTAAACAAACAAATGAGGCTGAATTACCTGGAAACAAACTGTTGGCATTTGCCAAGTTAATAAAGTAAAAACAATACACAAGAGAACTGGAACCACAAGAGCCAATAGGATCCCATAACGTAACTTCGACAGCGATCAATACACACTTAATAATACCCATAACACCATGAGGTTTACTTCATTATAGAAACAGTTGCTGAGCGTTTCCCTTTTTGCTCTAGTTATGTAACTCCTCCCTATAAAAATCTTCTTAACATCCTGAACTCATTTGTAACTTCTGTTTCTCTTCTTCTTTTCTTGCTTGAAAAAATAAAGGAACAGTTTGTAACAATTTTTTTTTTTTTTTTTTGAGCGGTCTCATCTCTTGCGGATTAGAGTGCTGGCTCAGCCTAGCTCACAGCAACCTCAAACTCCTGGGCTCAAGCGATCCTCCTGCCTCAGCCTCCCAAGTAGCTGGGACTACAGGCGCATGCATCCATACCCAGCTAATTTTTTTCTATTTTTAGTAGAGATAGGTCTCACTCTTGCTCAGACTCTTCTGGAACTCCTGACCTCAAGTGACCTTCCCACCCTGGCCTCCCAGAGTGCTAGGATTACAGGCGTGAGCCCCTACCACACCAGCCAACAATTAATTCTTTGAAAAGGCTATTGTGCTTGGAATGCTTGCCTAAGAAGATATTTTCCCCAAAGCTCCCACAGTACACAGAACCTGCTCACCTGGACTTCTCCTTTTTCTATGCATAGGTATGCTAAGAAAATTGTCAGTGGTTTGGGCCTCCTGGCTTTACATAAGTAAGATACCACTTCTCATTTTTTTCTCCCCAAGAAAGTGCTACAAAACCTTTCCACTTCATTCAATAAAAGGTTTTTGTTTTTAACTTTAAATTTCTTTTTAAAAATAAAACAAATATTGCCTTCCAGTACTTTTTTTTTTTTTTAAAGGAGTCTTATGAAAAAGGGGGTATGGGTAATTCTTTACCTGCTTTGTAGGCAATATAGGAATGAACAATTGCTAAAGTTCCAGGCCATGGAATTGCTTCTTCCTTCTTCAGCATCTGAAAAGATTTTTAGAATTTTACCTTGAGAGGGAGGTTTAAACACACATCCTGTATCTAACATTAAGTGACAGTGTCAGTGGTTATTGGCAGACAAAATCCAGGAAGGATTTAAGGTAGCAGTGGTTTATAGTTTCTAGACTAACGAGTTCTAAATATCAGCCTAGGAAAATGAAGTTCAAAGGCAAAAACAGCCAAGACACTTGAGCCCAGACTTACGAGGAGGCTGGGACTTGGCTGAGCATTCCTGCCTTTCACACATGCAACGCCCAACCACTCCCCACACCCAGAACCACCAACGCAGACGCTGCACATCAGCATGATGGTAGCAGCCACTGGCAGTCTTGTCCTTGACCTGATACGGGCTGCCTGTCTCAATTTTAGCTTTATGTGTCTCTCAGAGATAGCTTGTCCAAGGAAATTAAATATCAGTTCCAAATACTAAAGTATAATCGAGACCCTGTGTAGAAAATTATCAGAGGGTCACAAAATGGCATCAGGAATAGAACAGAGTAAGAACTGATCTACTGTACACAGAGACTGCAGCGTGAGGACCAAGATTAAAAGAGGAAAACCAGAATTCTCTCAAATCAGGATTCCAAAGAACTGAGCAGGATCCCAATGCTTGCTAAGCTACTGGGTTATTTATTTTTTATTTATACTTTGCCTACTTCCAAAAAAGACTTGAGACAGCTTGTAATAAAAATCATAACACTATAAAGATACATGGATAGTTGAGAAAAAGAGATAGGAAACCAAACAGAGAAGGAGGGAGGAGGCTAGGATAGTCCCTATTATGTCTGTCTTTTAAGTCCATGAACTATGAAGATGGCACTTTACAGTCAGTTCTCTGAGCCTGATGACAACATAGGTTAAAAGTGAAATGGCTGTTATTTTAATTAATCAACGGGGCAGTTTCCTTTAAAGATTTTATTCCCAAAGAAGAGTTTCAAAACCATATGCTAAGTTTGGTCCATTCTTAGAGAATGAGGCAGAATGAACTTTTAAAAAGAAGATAAGTCATTTCAAATACAAGGAAGAAGTTAGAGTCTATCCACCCAAGCACTACGACAGAGAAGCTCTGTGGGAATGAAGGTTATGTTCCTGAGTGCTGGGCTGTGAACAGGGAAGATGGGGCCTGGAGAAGAAGACCTGGGAGAGAGAAGACTGCACCATTCCCTAGGAAAGGAATTCCTCCCGATGGTGGTGTCTTTCTCCTCCTTGGCCCCTCACCCATCTGACACACCCACCGCACCTGGTCCTGACATCTGGGACAGATCCACATGCCCTTGGGAATCGCTTTCAGAGGAGGGTCTAAGCAGTCCAGATGATACACACGGGAACACGTGTCGCACATCAGCAACTGGCCACTTTTTCTGCAAACG